AGGAACGGGATCAGATGTTAAGTGAATTCCGCTTCCCCCCTCTTCCCCCCCCCCCGTGTAAAATTAAGAGGGATTTAATTTTTACCACTCTGGTTAAATTTAATCCAAATTTATATCCTCGTGGGGCCCCAACACCCATAATTTTTAAACTCAGCTGATGTATCTCTTTGTGCATTTCTTCTTCTATTGCACCTTTCTCCAAAGAATCTCACAGCATCTTGCAAGCACTACCGAAGGACAGCCTCACACCAGTCCTGTGAGGTAAGTAGGTACTATTCCCATCTGTAAAATGGGAACAAAACAGAGGCCTAGGACAGTTGTCCAAGGCCAAAAAACCAAGTCACTGACAAAACGGAGGGAGAGAAGCCCTACTGCTAGTTTCATACAGGAATGCAGCAGCTACAGCAGTAAGCATTGTTGCAGCTAACTGCTGAGTTTAAAGACCATGGTGCCCCAGTCAGGGGTTAGCTGTTCGGCACCGACGTGCCTCTGGGCCAGCGTATCTTACCCTGCTGTGGGAACAGGCGTGCGCTCGGTGTCTCCAGAGTGAGGCGGTATCTCAGCAGGGGCGTGAGAGAACTACAGCCTGGACTTGTATGTGAACAAGAACCTTGGTTATCGTGCATCAGCTCTTGTATCTTACATGCCTGTGCAAAGGCATCACGCTGACCCTCTGGTAAATCTAAGCTTATTCAAGGCAACTTACCCCCTAGTGAAAGAAGGCTGTGCTGTTTCCTCCCACCAGCAAGTGAGGGTACACAGACAGGCACGCTGGGCCATCTGCTGTGAATCAAGGGATCTAACTTACCCTGTGGTAGTTTGCTCATGAGGTCATAGCCCCCAGCCCCTTAAGCTCCAGTGCTCAGCTGCATTCCTACACCTGCTGTTCGCTAATGGAAAGCTGCCTCCATTTCTCCTTTCCTGTAAAAGCAGCAAAAGATTGTGGTTTCTTCCCTTCTAGCCCCTTGGCAAGCCAAAGAGACATTTCAAAACTATCTTGCTGGAACTATTTATCATCTAGAATGAGTTTCCAGACCAGGGTCACAATTTCTCCGCTCTCCCGCCCCTTTTGAACTCCTGTGGAGGAATGGATCATTCTCCGTGTTTTCCCCCAAGACCATGTACTGCAAAGCACCCAGGTGCTAGCAGCCCCTCTTTTTTTTCTGAAGCTACTTGGTACCATGTTGCTTCTAGTTCTCCTTTAGAACTGGAAAGTCATTCTAAAAGTTTGGCTTAAAATTCTCAACTGACATTTGAGCATCAACTTTTACCCTCTAAATTTCCCCTCTAGAATATAAGTTACGCTGGTGCAAAAGATTCACATATGTGGTAACAGAAAAAAAGAGCTTTAACTCTGAAGATTAATTAGACAAACCACTAATGAATTCTATCACCATAACAGTCTCATTTCTAACTTCCCTAATTTTTTTTTTGTTATTATGGTAGGACTGCTTGCAATTGCAGTCTCCTGGAAAAGGTATTGTTATTAAAGTCCTCCTCTGTTCTCCTTAACTGCTGCTCACCACTGGCTTACCTGTTGGTTGCAGGAAAGGAGGAAGTTCATGGGGTTTTTTTTTTTAAATTGTATGAAATTCACCACAGATTAATTTATCATCTCATAGCAGTTCAACAGTTAGGAAGCATCTGGAATGATGATATCTGTGCGCTCTATTGAAGGTTCGCTGTCACTTAGAAAAAAAAAAAAATAACAACACAACCCTGTAAACCCTCTGAAAGATCCAAGTGGAAAATTCAGTAACATACCATCATGAAAGTAAAATTGCAAGGGACTCCAGGAGGCCACAGAAGAAGTCTGACTTTGCAATGAACTGCAAAAATAATTACCAAGCAACTTCTGGTTTAGGATGAAATGTTTCCACATGTCATTACTTCGTACAGAATACCCACTCTATGCCGCCTACCTTTTAGATCACAAGTGAGCTTGAGTTTTTAATACTGCTGTTTTGTTTAGCGATGATGAAAAAGTTATTAAATCTGACTTTCTCTTAGTGCAGTAGTGTGTTATCTAACATAACTCCTTTTAGGAATTCTTTTAGGCTGTTCAATTCTAATTACAAATGTTATAGATAAATTTTGGTCCAGAACAGTCTTTTTTTGCTCATAATCTTGATCATTATCGAAATAGCAGTTTCCAAAAACATGGAGTCACTCTCAAATACCCTACAGTTCTCAGAATCTCTTCTGAACACAGGACACTGGCAAAAGACAGCAATTTCTGATCAGTGTGCATCACCAGCTTCAGCTGTTGAAAGGGGATTAACAACCAAATAGTAACATCAGTCTTGTATTCATTTTGAAAACTGCATCATCACGTTATTAATGTTAAAACCTGGAATGTAAGTGAACATGTGAATACTGATAGTATTTATACTGCTAGTATTTAAAGAACTGTTCCAGTGACTACATGCAGCCAACAGCAAAGGAATGTGAAGCCATTACAAGAAACCACTTCAGTCTTTCTTGATTTTTAACCTAAACACTGTGAAATTTCTGTGGCTGTGCCTGGGCCACAGCAAGAGAAGAATGAACCACAGAGTGCCCTGTGATTCCAGATGGGGACTAGGGGATGCCATCTATGGACATGCCTTCCCCCAAACTGCCCTGAGTTAACAGCTGATACCTTGGAGGAAAGATGCCTGGGAATTGCCTCATCGTTAGTGTAATGCTGTGAACGCAGAAACATTACCTCCCCAGTCGCTGTGCCAGTCGATGGACTGAAGTGGCAGAATCATATTTGGGAACAGGAACATGGCCAAGAGGTCACATGCATTAGGAGACAGTCAAACCATGATCTTAAGAGATGACATTGGTTGCTGGCTACTAGTGTGGGCATGTGTGTGCACATGTGTAGGAGTTTTATCTTTAAAAATAAACAAGCCTTGGAAAAAACCCTTAGTTCCCTGGTCTGTGTGTGAAAGAGTCATTACTGATTTTCAGAACTGCAGTTCAGCTGCAAGAGGCCAAACTTGCCAGGCTAGGCACTTTTCCAACAGCCCACCCAGTCTGAAAGCCAAATGTTTTTGGAGACAATAAGCTGCTATTCTCTCCCTAGAGTATTTGTAATCTCCTGAGAGGCTACATTCTTGGATAGAAGGCTGTTCTTGGATAGAAACGAATCGAGGCTAGGGTAGAGAAGAGGAGGAATGGTCAACAGCAGTTACCACATCCAGCCACTACAAACTGCTGTCTCCCTTCGCTCCAGGTTTCTTGTGATTATCACCCATTTCCACCTTGTGCACACTGTACCACAACGCAGCAGAAGTTGTTGGTCCAATCTATAGTGTACACAGGAGCAAAAAGACTTGGAATTGGGGGGGGTGGGGTGGAACCTGTCTTGCTGGTTTCAAGACTGTGCAGTTCCCTGAAAAATTGTTCTTTCTACCCTGAATCCCCACACACTTGCTCTGGTTCACTAAGAGGTAATCTGGAGTCCCATCTGCTTGCCAGAAATGAGAATCATTCTGGTTTACCACACAGATCTCTTGACTCACGCTGGTGTGATTCCTGAGTATGGAGATCTTCATTCTCTGAGGACCAGCCCAAAGTCAGGCTGGTGCAGTACAGACCAATCTGGAGTTATTTAGGTTCATAGAGGGCCAATGCAAAGTCATTCTGATGACTAACTGCTGGGTTCTGGATGCAGCTCCCTCCGGACTGATGACCTCACAAGTTTGGAGGGAGTTAAAGGTTTCCTTCTGAGTGATCCCAGTAGAGCAGAACATCACAGAGCAGCCCTGCAAGTTTCGTGCCATTCTCAACTCATCTTTCAGTGATGCTTTCCAAGATGCCAATCAAATTGTCCAATCCCAACAAGTACCCATCCTCCCTGTTGCCTTCTTGCCAGGGGATCCTGTGATCCAGTGTCTGCCCATCAGGGAGAAGGGTGGTCTTTCCAAAATCGATCAGCCACACATTGGCATTCCCACTGCCATCATGTACAAAAAGTAGTGAACTCCCAACGACCTGGAAGACAGATTGAGATGATGTGGTTAGGAACATATCTTTAGCTCTCCCCCATCACTTAATGCTTCCCACTAAGATGATGACTTCCTCCAATGACCATCTCACCTACGACTCAACAGACTTTTGGGCTGCACTTATACATTGACAATTTACATGCTAATTTGCATAACCATATCAATCAGTAACGTATAAATGGGCCTGTAGATGGGAAAAGGGCCCCAGTAGACAGAGGGAAGAGAAGCAATTCTCCAGCTCACTTGGCAGCAGGTGTCAGTTAGAGCAATTCAGCAAAAGCCAGTGACTACTTCCAAAGAAAGACCATGACCCACGATTAACAGAAATGCCTCTAGTGACAAGAGGAAATCAACAAGGTAAAATAAAATGTCTGATCTCAAAATCTTGAGCTGTAACAAGCAGAACTTACAATGCCAGTGATGCCTTCTCCACAGCAAAGCATACAAGAACATATAGAGCAGAATTATACAGTGTTTCAATGTAAATCCAGTATAGCTAATAAAGTCTTTGTTGTCAAACTACAACCAAATGCTACTGTTCCAAATGCAAGCTTCCATATTACCATTCTGCTGTACAGATTCCCACTGGAACACACCAAGATTAGAGAATCCATGGGGAACTGGTACTAAGAAACCATGCCCTGCAGTGGTCCAGGACTGTAAGTGCTGGGATGTTATAAAGATGGGAGGATTTATTATTCCTCGACTGGTTTAATCTTCTGTATAGTTCTGATGGAGGCTTTGAGGCATCATCTGTTTTGTTAACATATGTTAGTTTTCTTCTGCTACAAACTCCTTTCTACTAATACAGCAGGCTATTCTGAAGTACATCTGAATGGGCAAAGGAAGCCCACAGTATCACGCTCACTGCTCACCTCATGTCGCTTGAAGAAGTCTGAGGATTCAAGAATTATATGAATTTCCTGCAGACGCTTGAGGTATTTTTTCTGGAGGAAGAGGAGGAAAAAAAAAAAACCAGTAAACATTTAAGTAAAGAATGAATGAAGATACTCTATTTACAAGAGTCAATATAATGAAGACATCATGCTGATTTTAGGCTAGAGGTCCTTCAAAACAACAGGTTCATAATTAAAGTCAATCTGAAAACACAATTCAACAGGCTTTCATGGTGAATGAAAATTCAGAGATCCTCTGCTACACGTTACACCAAGCATTACTGATCTATCTTGCTTTGGATGCAGTGAGGTAGCATCTGACTCTACACTTTCTGCATACTCTTTATTTTTTTCTTTTTAATAAAGAGAAAAAAGTTTCAAGCAATTAAAAATATTTCAGTTGTCCACAGTGAAAAGAGAATGAAATTTTGTTAGAGACAACAAGCTCCAACGATGTTGGGCAGGGGGGCAGGTAAAAAAGCTGCCCTGTGTTACCAAGCGCACTCCTCCTGGAGGGCTAACCTGCCTTCACAATGGCTTCTACACTGCAGCAAAACACTACGGCACCCTTTGAAGTTCCAAGGACAAGAGACGTTTTATGCCATCTACCACACGCCTGCTGTGCTACCTCTGAAGTTGCGTACAGGAATTGCTCTTTGAGGCGAGTCTCGCATGTAGGAGCACAGCCAACTGCCAATCTCGCTTCCTGCCCCCATGCTCTGGTCTTACCCTCTCCAGACTTAATTCCCGAATGACGGGTTTTCCTGCCAACACAATCCTTGCCTAGACATCATCTGCTGCACCCAACACTTACGGTCGAAGGTGATGGCAAGCCGCAAGTTAGCTTGAGCGATGTTTTGCTAGCCTGAGGAACTTGACATGAACTCATGGCAAGAGCTGCCAGAACTGGTCTCGGCCAGCTACTTCTCACAGCCCACCAAGTCCCCACGTCCACTCCATCTGCTGAGAGGGACTGGAAGTCCAAACCATTTTCTGCCTTGATAGTTTAAGTGATCTTTCTTGTACCGGAGGGCACATGGCCCTGAAGCAAGCTCATTGGGTCAAAGATCAGTGAACCTGAAGAGTTCAGACTCACCAGAATAGTTGTGTTGCCCTCAATAAATTCCACAAAAACCTGTAGAACTTGCTCCTGTGTCTTTGTAGTTTTGAAGTTTGTGTTACATGTTCCATCCGCCTTCTGCACAAAAACGCACAAAGACAGAGACGATTTATATTACACACACAGCATTCCCCCCATCAGTCACTCCTCCTGAACCGTCAGCAGCTCTGCTCTTGCTAACCAGATGAAAGGATGTTGAACAGGAAGAGAGCAGATAAACCAAGCAAGAAGTGGAGAAAAGAGACAAAAGCTGATTGGATAACTTTAAATGGCACTTCATTTCCTGTCGGGTGCAGTTAAAAAAAAACAACTCATGGTATTACCAGCTTGCGGAAAGGTTTTCTCACGTGTCAGTACTAGCAGTGCAAAGTTCAATGGGGCAAACCACAGTGACCTCGTTGGTTGTCCTCTCATCTAGCTTGGCGTAGTCAAACCCTGTCTGGGGGTGTAAGGGGACATTTTCAAACTCAGTTTTACTAGTCCCTTTTGTTTATTTTTTTGTTTGTTTTGTTTTTCAATGGGGAAATCAAAGAATTGCAGTTAAGACTCAGTTCCCAATACACCTTTGCACATTAACATGACCCAGAAGTCACAGAACGGAAAGCTAGTTGCAGCCAAGAGCAACTCTGGATTTGGAACACTAGCAAGTGACACGAATGCTAGCAAGTGACACGAATGCTAGCAAGTGACACGAATGCTAGCAAGTGACACGAATGCTAGCAAGTGACACACCAGGTATGTGAATTTTAGCAAAGGACAGTGTGTGCATGCTCGTATGCAACTGGGTCCTGGAGAAATTCAGAGTATATTTGTGCTAGCAAAACGACTCCCTACAGAAGCATCCTCCTACTGAAAAAACAAGTCCTTGTACGTGCTGGTAGTGACCAGTTTGTGCTTGTGGGGCTACAAGCAAGTAAGAGCAATGCATGAATGGGAGATATCTGTCAACATAGACTCTATGAATATGCATCTCTCCAAGAATATCCCTGTTGCTTCAAGAGACACAAATGTGAGCTTTTAGGACATGCATGTAAAACCACAGCAACTATTGCAGCTGGTAGCCTGTATCCACTAAAAGCCTGCAAGATTATTAAACTGTATTCCTCTCCATCATATCAGTCCAATGAAATCCCTCATTTCCATTATATGAGTAAGTCAACAGGTCATCAAAATGTGTTCCCTCCCACACATTAGAAGTCACTGCACCAAAACCATGTAAATTCCGCTCCAGTCTCAGCAGGTGAAACAATATTTACTCCACAGCAGAACTCAGCCCCTAGTATATACATGAAAAAAAATCTGATAATGCTAAATTTCCAGATTTATCATGCAAGAGAATGAACTGACTGAATGGCACAGCCATGCAGTACAGCCTCCCACCTACCAGACTTTCTAGCAGCAGAATAAACAGAATTTTATCCCAAGGCTGTGGGCCAGATACAAGTGCAGCATGTCAGCCTGATGAGATGTGCAAGTCAGGCAAGAGAGGTTGTGAAAGTTAGGAGCCATCTGATCCGATGTATGATAATACTCAAGAGCACACAGAAATTTGAAACTTAGCCTGATGCCTTGTACCTCTTCACTGGAGTACGGTTGCTTTAAAAATAATTTCTCCCCATGCCTCAAATTCCAGAGCAAAGTCTGGAATAGCTGCCATGCATTCCCTTCTCATCCTTTTTTCTCAGGACAGACTAATTCTTGCTTCCCTGTTGTTTAGAAACACTTTTATGGTTTCATTCCTTTGTAGTGGTTGCCAGGAATTGTAACCGCTGCCTGACTTCACTGGCTGTGAACAACATCCAGACTTTGAATGGCACCATCCTTGTATTCCATACCAGGTCCTTGCAACAACTCTGGATGTACCTGATCCCCAAGAGGCGCTTGCCTGACATGCTCCTTGAAGTCATACCTTTGTCCGGGCCTCCACGTACAGTCCTGCACAGCAGAGCAGCCCGTAGCACCGTTGCGGCTAGTGGGCCACTTGCAGCACTGCTCATTAGATGTGACAGTGACATGGCCAGCAGGAGGGCAGGTTTGGCTGCTCCATAAAATAGTGCTACCTATCTTAACCTGTGTGGTCTTGCTCAGATTCCTCTGCAGACTTCCCTTAAAGGGCTCTGGGTTAAGGTTGTGACCTAAATGGATTCACCAAGATTTATGAATCAAACCTGATGTCCTCCTGGAAAAAGGGCTATCCCTGATCTAAAGGGTCAGCTAAAGGAAGAAGCAAATTCCCAAACTGCACAGAGGTTCAGTGACAGAATGGGAAGCCAGAACTTCTGATTCTCAGCCCCATGCATCTCTGCTCTGCAAGACTGTTGGTGTTGTAGAGCCAATGTTTGTGGTGCCTAGCCTTCAGACAGCCCCCTCCAGCGAGGAAACCTGCATCCTGAATCTGGCAGGCACAAGAGACCCAGTGTCAGGTGCCAGCTGTAAGGAAATCAAATGGTTCCAAGTATTTTGGTAAGAGGAAGAGGGACAAATCCCAAAAGTGAACCTCGCCTGATTTCAGAGATAGGGAAGTGAGGCAAGGAAAAGAGATGGATCAACCTAAAGAGAAAAGGCACGCCACTGATGAAGGAGCAGCACATATGGTGAATCCGATCTCATTTATTGGAAGCCACTTCACAGAAGGGTTTCTGTGATTTCAGTTTCTTTGCTTCTGGTCCTTGCTCCAGCAGCCACAGGGAGGACATATTTCTGAATGACCAAACCCAAGATACCTGTTCAGCTAACTCCAGGAGTTCACCAGTGCACCCAGGGAGAACAACCCCTTTTCCCCATCAACCACTAGCTGGCACCACTGACCCTTATAGGCTCTCCTTCAAAATGAGGATCTCTGCAGCAGGGCTTTGCTTTTCTGCAGATACATACAACTGGATGTACAGTTCAGCTACAACGAACAACTCCCTTTCTGTCACCATTTCTCAGAGAGAGAGAGAGAGAGAGAGAGAGAGAGACCTACATCCCTCATAACAGCACAGGGAGATAGAGGAAAAGGTAATGTACTGCAGTACTCCAAACACTTCCCGTGCTTAATAAAAGATTAAGTATTTGTGTCCTGTTTTGCACAGTTACAGCGTTGTCTCAGAGGGAAGTGTCATGCAGCCTGTGTGCCACACTGCTCCTACCCACCTCTGATAACCAGCCAAGCCACAAAGAACAAGCCAGGAGGTTTCACTGTGCTCCCTTAGCTCAGCCACTCTCCAGGACTCGACATAAATCTGTAAGCATTCTACACTGACCAACTATCTTTCCAAGAACATATGTAAAAGGTCTCAAGATCATTTGGGTTTCTGATTCCATTACACAGGGCATCCAAAGACCTAAGTGGTATAGGAATAGAACAGGCATCTTGATGACATCATTAGGTGGCTAAAGGGTGAGACAGAAAGTGTCTTGGCTGGACCAGAGCCAGATCATCTGCCACCCAGACAAATCCTGTGTGAGGATGCCTGTGTCTAACAGCCAGGAGTGGGTGACAGAACGTACAGGGGGCCAGCACAGCATGAGCTGGAAGCCCCAGTTCCTGCATCACAGCAGGAGAATCTGTGAATGAGGAAGGGAGAAGACAACACAGGGAAGCAGAGAAGAAAGGGGTGTTTATAAAGAGCCTCCACTAATCAGCATCACCCCTCTTTTATCCCCTTCTTCTTCCTATGTGCTTGAACTACGAAATGGAAGCAAAACTCATCCAGACTGTAATTCACAATGTCCTAACATACCTAAATTGAATGTATATGCTCTAGGAACACCCTGAAATCACACCGGGTAACCCACACTAACTTCCTCATAGCTGTCCGATCATGGGCTTCAGGTAACAAGTACTCATTCAGGGTGTGTGTGGGTTTGGGCAGCCCTCACCATGCTCTGTGCTGCTGTACCACTAACTAACCCCAAGCAAACTAGTTTAAGGCTAGCTGTGACAGGCCTATGCAAGCCAAAAGCACACTTCTGGATTCCAGCGAGTGAACATTAACATTCAAGTAACTGAGCCCGGTGGCTGATACTCTGAGAGAAGGTCCTAATGGGTTTCTGGGTAGGAATTTGACATTGCCATGGTACACAACAAATATACAGGATCAATGAGTAGCAAAGAAAATTTCTAGGGTTCTTCTGTGGCTGCAAAGTACTATCCTAGAAATGGTATAGGGGCACAAACTCATCCATCAGGAACAGCAGATGGACTTTGTTGATGGAGAAATTTTATTTTTGGTTGTTTTGGCTTTATTCCAGCTCCATCTATACCAGATATTGTCATGTACTTAAAAGGAAAAGGGGTTTCCTCAATCCCAAGGATATCTAAGCTAATGCTTTTAACATGCCTTGCAAATAAACACAATTGGAACAAAACCACTTTACTGTGATTCACATGGAATAAATATGTATAGTTCCCAGATTTAAAAAAAAAAAAAAAAAAAAGTAATTGCATGGGCAGAAGCAATTATTTCTTCATTTCTGAATTCTTCCTTATAACAGTCTCATTTTCATTGTATCTCTGTGGTTTTGATTAGGGCATTTTCACATCATCCTTTGGAAAACCTGGCTACTGATGCACACTAGCTTTTTGATTAATCAACAAATCAAACAAAGATCAGTCTCCAAGAACCAAAAATGAAACTCCAGAAATTAAACTATTACCTTAATCCCTTCAATCCTGAAGCCCAGGTTGGCACTAGAGCTGATGGTTTCCCTCCACTGCATGTATCGGGGTTTGGTGACAGCATGCTGGGCATTCTCTTCAGCTGTGGGAGCAAGAGGATCCACTTCAATCATTTTCTTGTACATGTCCTTACGCAGCTTTGGTTTCTCACGGGCCTTAGTCAACTCTTCCTCCAGGTATGTCCTGCAAAAACATCACATACCAACAAAACTGTAAGGACTCCTCAAACATTTCTTTCTGCAACTTACAGCCAGGCCTCAAGAAATGTCAACCAGGAAAGTAAGTGTTACGATTACCCCAATTTTGCATGTGGGCAAACTAAAGAACATGGACTAATGACTGCACAAGCATATGTAGTGGAACAGTTGCAGGAATCGGGAATTGTGTCATTCAGTTCTTGTTCTAACTATACCTTTACATACTGTTACATGCTATTGTTATGTCCTGCTTACAGAATGGGAGAAAGCCGAATTCCTACCATGCCACAAAACAGAACTGTATTTTCAGAGGACAGTTAGGAGAGATCACTTACAATGAAATCAAAAGCCAATAGGGCTGCTGAAGTCTTACTGTCTTCTCGCTCCTCAAAAAAACCCCTAACATCAATCATGCATGGGTTTTTTAGACCTCAGAAAGCAATTAAGGTTTTACTTAACTCATTAGACAGTGAAAGACAGAATGACTCTTCATACAGTAAAAATGAAAGAGTAAAGCAGATTACCTGAGCAGCTCTGAACTAGAAGAGGTAACTAAGAACAGGAAGGTGAAGGGTGACAAACCTTCCACATTCTGCTGTTATCACTCAGCCTGTTAATCTGGTAACCATTAGAACAGCACTATCCATGTTCTCTACATTCCACTGGACTCCTAGAGCTTGTCTCTCTCCACAAAGCTTGCACTGTCAGGCGCCTGGGATGTACTTTCTTCATCACAGTGTAATAAACCAGGCTGGTGTTTAGGAGATGCTGTCGCTCATTATCAGAATGTCACCTACTTTGAATAAAACACGTACTGCTGCAAATCCTTCTCCTCTTTCTTCTGGGCATACCGGTGCTACACATTTCTACTCTGATTTAGCTGACAATTCATTTCAGATTCTGCCTCCATCTGAAAAGGCTTGTCTGCACTCATTGTAAGTTGAATAACTCATTTACGACACTAACTCTCGAGCATCTGAGCTGGCACCCAAAAGATTACTATGACAGTTCATACCTCTCTGTACTGTTACTCCAGGCTCTCAACAGATTCTTTATCTATTTGTTATGCTTACAGAACATTTCTGAGATTTTCCTCTTAATCACAGACAAGAAAAGGAAAAGAAAGTGAGAATCTGGAGAACAACCATGGAGATGTCAGAGTAGGGAAAAAACACAGGTCAGTCCTGAGCAAATGGTCATCTCTTTTCTTTACCGAAAAGATCAATACCAGTGAAGGCACATTCAAGCGTTGGAAATGGTCTTTCACACTGCTACTCAGCCATCACATTTGGAGATGGGAATTTTATTCTTTGTGGGTTTTTTTCAATCACTGCGTACACAAAGATTAAGTGAACTTGCAGTGAATGAATCATGTAATTTTTTTCCCCATGTATTACCAGGCCACTGCAGAGAAACTTTGTCTTAAAAAAACCCTGAAAATACCTTGATTTGAATAGCTTTTGTAGCTACAGATCAGTCAGTTTACAGAATCCATGTACAGCCAGGAAACAATGGGACATACTCTCCTCAGGTTGTCCAAGGCGACTGCCAAAGCAACAACAGGTTGTCCGGACTGAACCCCAAGGCTCCAAAAACATTACCAAACTCCTCCAGAGAGAGCATGACCACACGCCCCCTTACCCCCATGTCCTCAAATGCATTTGGGTTAGAAAGCGCTTTCTCTTTCATGTACCCCACCTTATCCCCATCTTGCAGTCCATCACACAAGGCCCTTCAAAATCAGTAAGCAAGTCATCCAGCTGAATGTAGCTCTCGCCATCTCTCTCCACCACACCATGGAAGCAAGGGACACAGGAGCGTAGCGGGTCTTTCATCAATCGCTCAAAACACTCCTTTTCATTCTCTGAGAAGCGTTTGAGAATCTTCCCGCTATCAGCTGCCTTGAAACTCCCTAAAAAAGAAAATCAAACACATACTGACAAGACTGACCCACAAAAAAGAAAAACACCTTCCCCCACCACTCCAGCTTCATCTACCTCAGCCTCATGACACCAGTTAAAGATTTCCCCTAAACAGAGAAGATAACAAGCTTTTCATAAAATAATAAAACACCCAGGACAAACACAGCCGTTGGCAGTGAAAGTCCCTTTGGATACATTCCCATGTCAGAATTTATAGCTTTAAGGGGTTGCAGCTGCTCCAGGCCATTGGGGTTTCTTTCCATGCTAAACTCTTTGTTAGGTTATTAAACACTACTACACTTATTAAAATGCACAGGAAGAAGCCACGAGCCAGAATTCATTAATCCTCTGACAGGGTGTTTTAAAGCTGCGTAACACTGCCAGTGTTGGCTTTGTCCTTAATCCTTGCATAGGGTATACCTGCTGAGTGTGTACGTACTGAGGCCGTACAGTCAATCAGTGATCGTTAAACAGCCCCGAACAGGCCAGAAGCCAAACACTGCCCTTTCTATACACACACATGATGTGACTGTGCATGTGTGTACCTCCAGGTACTGCCTCTTCTCCAGAGCCCTTCTAATCCACAGGTACAGCCTGTAGTGCAATTGGTTTTTTACAACCCTGTGTCTGAATGGCATCCAGTACAAATGAGTCTGCATAGGCCAAGACTGGCAGTAATTAGACTTTAGCCGCAGAAGTCACTCTCCTGTCCCACACCCTGCCAACAATATCTGAGGAAAGCACACATTTCATCCAGAGGTACCCTTTAATCTACACAATGTAAAATAGGCACCAAAGTAGGAGCCTCATTAATCCCAGGGTTAATGCTCAACTTTTATCACAGCAGAAACCTTCAGCCATTGCAGACTGGTTCTTCTCCAACAAACCCTAGAACTGGCACTGCCACAGCACAAGGGTGAGGTTGGTGATGGCCCAGGTTTTAGTTTAGAAAGAACTTGTCATATCAGAGAACAACCACCGCAGAAAGGATGGATTAAACGCAACCACAGAAAACTATCTAAAGCAAAGTGGAGCAGTATCTTTCCTTATCAGCTTCTAGTCACCTCTTAACCCTCCTCTTCCACCCTACTACATAAGCCTGCAGAAGGGTTACGATTACACGACCAGTGCATCACTCCACACCGATCAAGCCAACCCCATACACACTGTGATAAAAACTGCAATAAGACTGTGTGATCTTGGCACTCTGTGTGACACGAGTCAGCCTCACCAACACCACTGTGCAAAATGCAGCTGCTCCATTTCTAGGACTAAATACATTTCTCTGCACAGCTTTGAAGCGCATCATATTAGTGCATTAACATATAACGAGGTGGTTCAGGTACTGTATTAAAGCACGATGCAGCGTAGGTGCCTGCCCACATGTGTACTAATAAACCCCACACTAGCACTTTAGGAACAAGGGCTGCATAGGAATTAAATAAAGCATGAGAGAAGCAAACCTGATGACTTCTCTTGTTATTTTTTTTTTGTCTTACCAATGAAACAAAGCCTACATCAGGAGCACATGCACCAACTTCCACAGACACAAAACTAGAACCAGTCGACTGAGCTGCACACATACAGTGAACAATGACAGACTCGCAATGCAAACACCTGGTCAGCAAGTCAATTTTCACCAAATTTGGTTTTTTTCACTAAGGAACTAAGATATTGGCTACCCAGTCAAGAAAGATGATCCCACACCAGAACCAACAGCAACAGATAGCCTAGGGCCTCAACTCCCCAGTTCCTTTTCTTTCCCTCTAACGTGTATTTTACATATATCACCTTACAAGGATGCATCAGCAGCCTGGTCCTTCCTCAGTGTCTGAGCATGGCTTCGTCACTCATCTCATTATTCAAGTATATCATTCCCCCTTCCCTATACCCACCACAACTGAAGGAAAGATATTCTAGTTCACAGATTCATGTGATATTGCCTGCTTCCTTTTACCTCAAGGAAGGAAACAGAGAAACACTGAAACACTGTTTTCTTTGCTGCTGCCATCCCTGCTCCAGAGACAAACACGTTGAAGACATCCATCTCACCTGTATGCCCAGCCAACTGCACCCATGAGTAGCGTTTCTTGAAGGGGCTGATAACTGGTAAGTTAACCATGGTTTTAATTGTATGCCATGCCTTTTTCTGGAATACAAAGAAAAGAAATATTAAGTTGGGCAAAAGCTGAAATCCTGACATGCCACAAACCTACCAGATAGCTTCATGCACATTGAATTGTTCCTCACTAATTTGTAAGTGCTCAAAGTTGGAACCACAAAACAGACACTATGATCATAATTGGAAAAATACACACATAAACCCAAGAATGGACAAATACTTACATATATAATGACCTACCAGCAACAAGAAAGCTGCCTGCAAGAAGCAAACCAAAAAAAAAGTGTCATACTGCACGTCACAGGCCTGTTCTCAGCCACACCTGACCTTCTCTGTCTCTGAGTCATGCAGTATGCGGAAAGCAGATGCTGAACACACACTTGTGCACATTTAAGTTTCCATGAGACATGAAAATAAGCTGTTTGCCACTGTCAGCAATACTTCCTTTCCCAGAGAACTTCAGCATCACCTCATGATTAACGGCTTTCTCCAAGTCAGCAGGTGAGCCTTACTGTGACAGATGCATAGAAAATGCATCTCTAGTTGGGCACGGAGGTCACCCAGGTCTCTCAGCACCCACTGACAGCATGCTGTAGAATCTACTCCAGCTCAGATTTTCCTGCTCCCTCCCCTCTTTCCCAATCTTGTTACTTTTTAACAAAGCTGGGCATTCCTCTGCCCACCTTGGGCTGCGGCAGGGTGCAGCTGTCTGGATAGGGCTGCAGGCAGACAGGGAAACAGAACAGCTGCTCGCAAACAGCCGCCCAGTGCTCTGTCACAGAGGCAGAAGGGAGGGGGGGAAAAAAAAAAAAAAAAAAAAAAAAAAAAGTAGAAAGTGAAAAAGTCTCGTGCTTGGGAACTGAAACCCGGGTGGGAGAGAACCACAGCCCACTGACGTTCATGTTACACTCTGAGGGATCCCAAAGCGCTTTACAGACAAGGACAGTAGGCTCATTTCTTCTCCCTAGGGCATAATACCCTGCAGGAGAAAAAAAACCAACACAATACTTGTGCATGACAATTTAGTGCTGAGATCACTTATAGTTGGGGATTAGGCTGCATTTACAGAAGTGCTTATCAACAGTCTAACTGGGATTCACCAAAATCAATGGGAGGCGTTGATTTCACTGAAAATGCATTTAGGTCATTGCTCAACACCTGAAAAATCCACCCTCAAACCAACCGTGTCTTCTCTAGTAAGGATATTGATCTGACTATTTAGGGGCTTAGGGTACCTGATTTTTATTGTCTTCTACACTATACTTGTACCAAAGCGAAAAATACAAAAGTGAAATTGCAGGCAATGTACACAGGCAAAACGTAGCTTTCCAGATCACATTCTGACCTGGCCATCTTCCCCAAACTTGTTCGCTTATACCATGTTTCTTACAAAGGTATCCCCTAGCAATGTTGGTCACCATGTGAGGGCAAAACCCTATGGCTATCTTAGAATGTATCAAGAGGATATGTGAACTCAAGAGACGCAAGTGATCTTTCTGTTAGCTTTCTGTCAGCTTTCTGTCTTCACAAGAAAGTTTTAAGTTATGCTGCATATTAAACTGACATAATTACTATATGAGTGTATTTATTGTGAAATAAGATTGCTTCTTCCTATTTATGAGGACGATCTTTTTAGTAGGGCCAGCTGTGACAGGACAAGGGGTAATGGTTTTAAACTAAAACAGGGTAGGTTTAGACTAGATATAAGGAAGAAATTCTTTACAATGAGGTAGTGAAGCACTGGAACGGGTTGTCCAGAGAGGTGGTGGAGGCCCCATCCCTGGAAACATTCAAGGCCAGGTTGGACGGGGCTCTGAGCAACCTGATCTAGTTAGCGGTGTCCCTGCTCACTGCAGGGGGGTTGGACGAGATGACCTCTAAAGGTCCCTTCCAACCCAAAACATTCTATGATTTAAGTTATTTTGGTTTTGAATGCAGTTTAAGCTGAAATGAAGTCACTCTCGGTCTGATATAAAGTGCCCCATGCAGCAGTAATACTTTTGAAAACAGGCTGTGCCAGCAAGAGGAAACATCCAAACAAAATCCTGTGTGGTTGAAAATCATGAAGACTCAGTTGCACTTAGTGCAACTCCACAGATGTTACTACCTCTAGCTAAACTCCATTTTCATAAATACCTTCTGCAGGTTTAAATGACCCTTTCATATTTTATATATTATTTGGATTTCATATTCTTATTTGCTTTAAGTCGTCCCAAACTGCAACCTCGCAGTGCTAAAAAGCAACTTGGCTCTATCACAGAGCTAGCTGCTGTTTAGTAAGGATGAGAGAGACTCTTGCACACCACCTATAAACGCCCATAGCCTCCTTCTGGAGGAAAGTGCAACGTAACTATTGTTATTCAAGTAGCAAAGATAAATGATTTCTGTATAGTCTATTTGACACATTTAACAGACAACAGAAGCCCTTCAGTCTACTCCACTGTTTCTACTCCAGAGGGACGCAGCCCTAAGTTCTTTGAAGAACAGCTGAAAGAAAACATCATTCTGAATTAAAATGACCACTTTGAATGCAACCCCAGCCAAAGATTTAGTTTTTGAAGATTCCAGCCCAATTTTCAGGATAACACTGCTTTTTCCCCATCCCTTAATCAGAAGTCAGCATTGCTCCATAACTCTCCCATAAAGATCCTATACTCATCATAATGTGTGACTCCTAACCAACGGCATACTGCCTCCCAATGACTTGTAATACTGCTATATCCAGAAGCAATGAGAAGCTCAGGTTTTCAAGGAATGCACATCAACTGTCAATGCAACATCACACTCCAGTGGCTTTCCCGCCTCCTCCCTCCCACCCAGCCCTAAGAAGCTGCAGCTTTTATTTGTACTGTGGGTGTGAAGGAGAGGCAATGGGCCAAATCCAGCCCCAGCTCAAGTGGACTTTGGCTGCTTAGGTTACAGCTGTCTTGGATGAGTACGTTTAAGCTACTCATCCAATAAACAGACACTGACAATTTTTAGATTTTTATTTTAAATAATCTCTTCACAAACCTTTTTACCCCTCAAGACAGTGAAAGCACGAAGCTCAAGCTAGGAGGGAAAGGATTGCTTCCAGACCCATCCCACGGGGTGTGCTGCCATCAGCAGGGGTTCTGCGGTTGCAATTTTCCCCTACCGCAACTTCCAGTCTCCCAACTCACTCAACCCAGGATGCAAATTGCCAGCACGCAAACAGGGCTGCATGCTGTTGGAGCAGTGGTGTGAGTGGGAAGATGAAAACTTTGTGTGCCTGCTGTGGGAGGAATCTTTCTCGCTTCTATTTCTAAAGCAAGATCTCTTCCTCTTTGTTAGCAATGGTATTATGTGTTTTTCAAATTGCTGCTTTATGCTGCAATGACAAAGTGGACTGCTACCACTGCCCATCTGTATTTGCAGTCCATATCAGAGTCCCTGTTTCTTCTAGATTCCTGCCCAGTCTTCCTTGGTCCTTTGCTCTGCCTGGATTTCCCCAAGCCTTATTTCTTCTAGATTCCCAGCCAATGTATGCTATTCACATATATTCAGGGAAAACTCCGGTATCTCTCTATCAGGATTGCCTGAACCAGATGCCCTGAACATCACCAATGCTGTTTTATATGCTGTTGAGATCAATATACTCAAGAGTTTTCCAATGGGAAAAAGGAAACCATTCCAAAAGGGCCAAGAGGCAAACATGAGAAATACTAACATTCATAGATTCAGCATATAAGTTATGCAATGTGAACTGTAACTGACACACTGAGCAATAAAAGGTGTGGGATGGTAAAGAAGGGAAAAACTAGTTTCCTGCCAACGGGTCAGCCTGTGTGACGGGCTGTGCCACTGGAACTGTGTCCTTGGTAGCAAACGAACAGAAGTTCAGGGGAAGAGAATGGGAGAACAGATTCCCACAACACAGCTACAATGCATGCAAAGGACTGTGGCTTGGTATCTGACATTGATCTGTGTTATCTGGATTACTTTTTTGAATCACTCTTCTGAATTTGAAGCACAGCACTGAAGAGAAGCATACATCCATGCAGCAGATGTGGCAGACTTGCTCTGCGTTATCACTGGCATATGCAGACACGATTGCTGGCCAGATGGAGTATTCCCAACCTATGCAACCCTGGATACAGGTGGCTGTTGCCATCATGCCTATCCATGAAGGAACAGCAAAGATGAGCCGCAACCAAGAGCCACTGTGAGCACAGCTTTCTCCAGTCCTTTTTGCTTGATGAGAGCACAACTTCATATGTTACTACTATGCAGCAGCACAGCCATGACGACCCTGCCCAAATACACCAGTAAGACTTAGCTGAGGAAAACTCACTAAACTCACTGGCAGGCATTTCATCCATTTTAAGGGGGTTTGGCTCAGGCCTCACTGCCCCCAAGAATTAATCCACACGAACTAAGCAGCTTTCCTGAAACCCTCCCACAATTTCAGGACAAGGGCTGTAACATCTTAACAGCCAAGCTCACTGAACAGGTAGTGCGGACTCCCTGAATTGGGTGGGGTTTTTTGGTTGCTGCTGCTGCTGTTTTACAGGCAGTTGTAGAACAACTGAAATCTCTCCCTGAGCATATGCTGAATCCCTCAGGGACAGATTAGCCACGCCAACTCCTACGGGCAACAGGGGATAGGGACCAGAACCTTCCTCTGCTTTTCTGCGGAAACATAACCAAAATCTCTCCCTTATTTAAGGGTAAAATACATACACAGGAATTTGCAGAATTGAGTCCTAAGTGAAGTATTTAAAATAATTAAAACCACCAATCACATCTAAACTGGGGGGGGGGGGGATAAGAAAACCTTTTCGTCAGGGAAAAAAAAAAACCAAACAAACCTATCAGTTTTAATAATACTGCCATGTTACGTGAAACTATAGTGAGTTAAAGAACAAAAGTACATTGAAAAGTAACATAAATCAACAGGGTCCCTAAATAAGTTCATTTTTCCATCAGCAGCAGAGTGAAGGAGCAGCTTTTTGCCTGAGCTGGTAAACTTCCATGGAAATTCCGCTAGACTATAGTAAACAATGACC